TTACGAGTTATTTTCCAAATACAGACCTATTACATGTTGAGTGGGTGTAGGCTAGTATTTTTTTCAGAAAACCCATGTCATAGTAAATGTTGAGTGAATAAGAGGGCGTGCCATTCTGAACACGATGGGGCCTCATTTATGAAATGTTAAGTAGAAACTGTCCTACATTTAATCTTACGATCATTTCACAATGCATACTGTATGTGATTCAGAGAATGAACTACACACACAAAAACGTGTGCGCACGCCTCTCTTTCAGAAGTGAAATTTATAAATCACAAATTATGTTGAAATTGTGTGCAGCTGAATGGTTTCAGATCTCCATTTTGTGAGTGCCACCTAATTAATTCCATTAACATATAATAGAGCACCAGTCAACATCTAAATCCTTTACGTGAGAATGGCCAGCCGCAAGAATTGAACATTGGCGTGGATTTTAGCGTACACATAGCCTACTCTATGAGTTTACATCTGTGCATATGCACGTTTTATAAATGAGACCACAGTTTACTCATTTTTTTGTATTTTTCATAGGGTCCATTTAAGCAGAATGTATTTTTGCATTTAACTGCGCTGTTTTCGATCAGTTTAACACGTCTTTGCTGATGATTTTTTTTTTTATCTTAAAATTAAAATGATTTTATTTCTGAAGGATCTGGAGTAATTGGCTGCTGAAAATTCAGCTTTGCCATCACAGGAATTACATTTTAAAATAAATTAAAATAGAAAAACTGTTATTTTAAATGGTAATAATATTTCACAATATTATTGTATTTTTGATCAAACCATGCAGCCTTGGTGAGCAGAAGAGATTTTGTGAAGTTATCATTTTGATGTAATATTATTTTGATGAATTGTAGTAAAACCAGTTTGGGACTGGCAAACAAATTATAATAGTATACCCACAACAATTAAAAAACAAAAAAACAGCCTACATAAATGTCTAATTGATAGATAACACAAGTGAGATTTCAATTATATCTAGACCACTGAACTAGGAAATGTTTCCATTTTAGAAATCTTGTCGCCTTATCATAGAGGTCAGTTATTCACAATCCCATAGCAACAGGCACTGCAGACATACAGCTCTTTGGGCAGCCAATGGTTCTCAAGTGCTGAAAAGCACTGATCTCAAAGCAACTGACGTCAGTAGCCAGCAGTGGAGGTGTTTGAGTCAGGCTAATTGGCCTGACTGATGGTCCGTACTCAGAGATTAGTGTAATACAGAGACAAAAGAAATATTGACACATCAAAACTCCCGCAGCTATGGTAATTGGTGAGATAGGATCAGTCAACTGAAGCAACTCCCCACTAAGAAAATAATTAAGCTTCACAGAGCCAGAAATTCATAGCTTTGAAAACACAAGATAAAATGCTTCCCTTGCCCATACAGGATTTCTTTTCCCTTTCACTCAGCAGAGTAACACAAGCACTGATTTAGCTTTAAAAGGTCGATAACACTTAATTCTGGTGGAAAAATCAATGAACTTCGTTGCCCTATAGCAAAAAAGGCCAGTTAACAGCATTATACGAGTTAAACGGGACAGAGAAATTGTCATTGGCAAAGATTTTAGTAGCTTTCCACACTTGAAGGATAACCCCCAGTTATTAATTTAAGGTAAAAAATGATCTTGTTGCAAGGCATATCAGGGATACTGGCACATAAAACTAATAGTAACGTGCTAAATGCTTATAGGTATGTGAATATATTTAACAAATGGGAGAAAGAGGTCATTTACAAAGCCAGGCAACAAGTCAATCCATCAACCTTCATATTGAGTTCCTTCTTCCCCAATCTGAATTCCACACTAATTGCAGCTACCTATAATTGACAGTAACAGTGAGATTGATCTGTTTCTTCATTACCCGCCATAGGACACTCTTTCAGTCAACAGAAACCAGCAATCAAAAAGAAACTAGATATTTTCCTTTTCTTAAGAAATCGCAGCTTGCTTGTGCAAAACTCATTACTATAATGCTAGGATGTCGTGACTGGTTACCTAGGTATTGCTACACACTTGCTACTGTGTTCTGATTGTTTTTTTATCACATTATTGTTATTGTTAAGGTAGTCTGAGTGATTTAGCACCTTACCATACATTTACAAATGTGTTCTAATGAAAATTAACCATGGTTTATCTACAAATAAAACAAAAAACCACAGTTACTATAGTTAAACCATGGTAACCACAGATTACCCATAGTTTACCATGGTATTTGTAGTAAAACTGCGGTCATACAAATGGTAATCAATATGCCAAAAAACGTTACTACACTATTACTATAAGACCATGGTTAATTTTCGTAAGGATTTTTAGCACATATTGATAAAATGGTCTGAGTCATTTTAACGCATTGCTATTGCTCTAGTATTTTTTTGTAGCGCTTTGCTATTCTTTTGCTAATGTGTTGCGAGTTTAGCATATTGCATTTGCTGAGGTGTTCTGTGTGTTTTTTAGGCTAAACATTTGCGAACCCTGTTGAAAAAAACAGCATATGCTGGTTAGGTATGTTTTG